CAGATCCTGAAGCTGAGGCTCCAATACTTTGGCCACCTCATGAGAAGAGAAGACTCACTGGAAAAGACCCTGATGTTGGGAAAGATTGAGGGCACAGGGAGAAGGGGACGACAGAGGACGAGATGGTTGGACAGTGTTCTCGAAGATACCAGCATGAGTTTGACCAAACTGTGGGAGGCAGTGGGAGGCAGTGGAAGACAGGAGTGCCTGGTGTGCTCTAGTCCATGGGGTCACAAAGAGTTGGACACGACTAAACGACTAAACAATAACAAATAAGCACGGTTCTTTACATTACCTCCACAATTTTAAACAACTTGAAGATGCTTTCTGAAGGCCATTTGCTTATAGCCTTATTAATTACATTTCTATCCATGAGTTGGCAGAACTAGATATCTGCTGACCACCCTGCACTTTCAGTTTAATGCCTGAAAGGGGCTTATGGGTTTTCCATTGTTATTTCTCTTAACTCTGAATAAAATACACGACTGCGAGACCAGGTCTTTCATTAATCCTAGCAGTTATCCAAACAGCTTAGGCATTTGCTTTTTGAAATGTCAGCAAAGCATAGAGATTCCTGTGCCTACAAGCCTGACCCAAGCTTCTAAATGTAAGGAAAATGACACTTTCCTTTCTTTGCTATAGAATTAGAATAAAATCTTCCATTCAGACTTTCCCAGCTGAGACCTATTAATACTCACAACAGGGCAACATTTTAATTTTCCTCTCTATTTCCCCTGGAGCAACCAGGTCCTGATTTGTTTGCTTGTTAATTTTATTTTCTGAATCATCTCACTGCTGTATGAGGAAGCCAGAGATTTGAGATGCCATGCTGTGTTTCCATAGCAATGGCTTGAGTCTCTCAGTATGGCTCTGAAGGCCATACCCTAGTCAGCCACGCACTGCACATTTCCATTTATATAAAAACAAAAAATGTATTTTCTGCATAGACAAGCGACGGCAGAGCTCTCGAGGAGCACCATGATGAACAATGGAAAGGGAGCTTCAGACATTTACTTCTGTCTCATTCTGAAAAGCAGCATTTGAACAGTAGATCCAAATTCAGTAGGACAGTAGATAATTTCATATCTGAGTACAGAGGGGTGGTTGTTTTAGCTCTTGCATGTATTACAGTACTGAATCAACTGTATATACGTACAACTATAACCATTTTTCTAACGACACTTAATTGGGATAGCGAATGCTCATACCACATCCATTTGGGTGTGCAGTTCCTTATCCAAGTAAAGATTTGTACATGGAAACCTGCTTTCACATTTAACTACTGTACCTCTCTATCTGGACTAGCGCTTATGAAGTCATTGTGGCTCTATTTTTATTAGGCTGAAGTAATGAAATTCAAATTTGAACTTGACACATTTATTGGACTTAAAAGTGCTGAAACTCTCATCAATATTTAAAGGTACGCTGTATGTCTTGATCAGTTTGTGGCTTCGTAAGTCAAATTCAGTGTTCTGCCATGAAGGATTGAGTATGGCCACTGAAATAGTGGGTTTAATATGCTCTCTGTTATTCACAAAATGAGGGTTTGATCCACCATGTTCCACATAACTGTAGCCTAGACTTGAAGTTATTGAAGCAACTAGGGTTGGCATTGGTTGCAGCTACAGAGGGTTGCAAAGTTCTCCTGAACAAGGCTTTGAGTGGAACTTCTGGGGCTGGTTAAAGCAAAGTTCAGAAGCAAGGTGAGCTTTACAAGCCTATGTTCTCCTCCAACTTTGATTTTGATCTGAGCTGGAAAATTCCTAGCTCTTCCCCTCTCCACACTCCAGCTCTTGACTCCCGTATCCTAGCATGGTATTATACATCATAACCTTGGAAAGAACCCAAAGGCAACACAAGGAGAACCTGAGAAAGTTCACCCATCACTGGTTGTGTCAGTCCCATAGTTAGTCATTTTTGGGAAAATCATGTTCCATCCAAAACAAAGTGTTCTATATTGAGCTGAAATAGCCTAGGGTCATTTTTCTTTGGCAAAGCATTTATTTTAAGCTGTTTTAAAAAATCTTGTCCTACATTGCAAAAAAGGTTTCTCTTCAATCCCTGCCATCTCCAGCTGAAGGACTTCAGACAGTAGGTCCTGGAGAGTCCACAAAACTCAGAGCATCACTGCCAGTCAGAGTAGCCAGTACAGTGGTACCTTGGGTTAAGAACTTAATTTGTTCCAGAGGTCCGTTCTTAACCTGAGGTACCACTTTAGCTAATGGGGCCTCCTGCTGCCGCCGCGCCACCACTGCACGATTTCTGTTCTCATACTGAAGCAAAGTTCTTAACCCGAGGTACTATTTCTGGGTTAGCGGACTCTGTAACCTGAAGCATCCGAGGTACCACTCTACAGTGGTACCTCAGGTTAATTACTTAATTCGTTCTGGAGGTCCGTTCTTAACCTGAAACTGTTCTTAACCTGAAGCACCACTTTAGCTAATGGGGCCTCCTGCTACCGCCACGCCGCCGGAGCACGATTTCTGTTCTCATCCTGAAGCAAATTTCTTAACCCGAGGTACTATTTCTGGGTTAGCGGACTCTGTAACCTGAAGCGTATGTAACCTGAGGTACCACTGTACTGATATGTGGACCAATTATCTTAATTTGCATAAGACAGTTCCATATGTTTCTGTGAAGCAGGCTCAGCTGAAATATAGTGATTGGCCCAATGTAATCTCCATAGAAGGGGGATGGCTTGAAACCCAGTCTCTCCAGTCTCATCCAGAATTCTAACCAATACACATACCTGGTGCCTCTTGTTTATAGGACAGAAAATTCTTATTATTTTTTGCTTAAGAAGACCATTTAGTATTCATAAAAGGGAGGAGAGGAGCCACATTTTTTTTAAAAAAAACAAAAAACCCTATTCAAATACCTCTAGCCCACATGCAGGTTCTTTTCTGTCACCCAATAGGTTTAAAACAGACATTGCCTAGTTGTGAAAAATACACTGGAATCAAAGGATGCAAAATACCTATTTTCAATGTCATTACGTCTAAAAATCGCAGGCTATTCTATTCAGTATGCCAGAGCAGTTTCTTTCTGCTCTTACATTTTACAAACATTTTATCATTTAGTTTTTAAGATTTCAAGCTACAAAGCTTGTCCCTTGGGAAATTATTTTGCACAATAATAGCGCTACCTATCATGATGCCTTCTCTGACATTCAGCCAAGTTCTTCTTTTAATTTCACTTATTAGATTCACATATAATGCTATTTACTTTTGCTCAATAACTCATTGCCATTTAATGTGCTCAGCTATGTGCAGACATGCACTCCTCCTTTATCAGCAGCAAACATAGCCTGCACATATTTAAACTCATACTTCCTTCTTAAAGCAAGTTTGACCATTTCTAGCTATTTTGTTGCTCAGTCTCACCTCTCATTCCTCTGGTTTTTCACTAGTGAAATCAGCATCACACTTTCACTTTAAAATGTTCTCAGTTACACACATTGTCAAAAATTGTGGCTAACTTTTCACAGTTTAATTTTATGGTGTTTGTGTCTCTTCTTCCCCCGCCACTGCCCCCCCCCCAATTGTCCTACCAAGCTTCCTGCTTGCTCCCATCTCAGTGTCTTCCGAACAGCTTATATAAATAGTGGCAAAAACAGAAATGATAAAAAGGTTAAAGACCCACGCAAATCCTCATTGTCAAATGCTATTGAGATATACATCCGTAGGATGATTCATGAACTAGAATCTCTACAGAAGATAGGAAAAAGTCAAGTGGTTTGTAAGAACATTCACCATTTGACCAAGTGTCAAGCCCTGTAGAGCATGGGTGGGGAATCTATGGTCCTCCAGATGTTCTTGGCCTCTCATTGTGTTTGACCATTAACCATGCTGGCTGGAGCTGATGGGAAGCAACAGTATCTGGAGGACTAGGGTTTCTTCATCCTGGCTTAAACCTTGCAAAGGTATGGCATCTAACCCCTGTACCATGGAATATTCATGGAACATGTATGTTGTTTATTTTCATCCTCCACGATGGGGGCCATCAGTCCCTCCTATCATGGTTGTGGAAAGGTCTCAGTAGATATCTCATCAAACATCCACAATGCATGAGAGACTGTTTGCTCTTTCTGCTCAGTATGTGTTTGCCCTGGGTTGGCCTCTTCTATATCAAACATGCCAACATTTACATGGATGCCAGGATTAGATACCTTCCTTCCCTTTGGTTCTGATGGTGGAGAGGTACAAAGAGCTTCTCTCTGTGAGCAAGTGTGGCAGCGGTTGTTGGGAGGTGCCTTTCTTTCCATCGATGAGGGCACAGCCACACCATTTCCATTAAAACACACACCCTCCTCTTTCTGCAATCCTAACATTTTATATTTGCACTTAATAGCACTAACGTAGGTCTTCAAAACAAAAGTATGGGAATGGAAGCTGTTTTGGATTCCATGATATGGTCTGCCGATTGTATCATATTATGGTAAGGACAAAGTACTGAACACTCTTCAGTGCTCGGAAGGGATGCCCAGTGGCAACTATGTCATAACACAGCATCCGTCTCTCTATTCTAATTAAATTAGCAGTTTAGATGTGTAGACAGTGTGATCAGATCTGCACTGTTTGCTAGAATTTGTAGCCAAGAGGGAAAGAGGTGAGTTCAAAATGTGTGGCAGGGACTTGTAAGCCATGGGGAAAGGGAACCGAGACAGCAGGAATGCAAGCTGGAAGGGGGCAGCTATTGTGGGCAAGCCTGAGATGATTCTGGAGAGCAAGCTGATCAAACTCCAAAAGGGGCAGGAGTTGGCAAACGGAAGCATTCTCTTGTCGGCTACTAGTTGAGGGAAAACTTTATTAACTTAAGACTGGAAGCAGGACAGCTAATCTCTGAAACTTTGATAACCTTGTATAATGCACTGAAGAATACTGAATATGTGCTAGTTGCAATTCAAAAGGTAGCTATCTGAAATAATGCCCTACTAAGTAGAAAAGTACACATTTTCCAATTACTTCAGTCAAATATTATGAGACTATGCAATAACAGAAACATGGTAATGAAAATTTTATTTGTTAAAACACATAGCCCAGAATTGTTTGCAGTCCTTAGTTCAAGTGTTAATTATATTACATACTATTTAACAGGATTTTACGATTTTTGAAGTGCATTTTCTGTAAATTACATTTCCTGAGACATGCATAGTATTTTAGACTTATATATGTTTTACACATCAAAACACTGTACATAATCAGTGGTGCTCAGTGGTGCACAAAGTAAAGTACATCAAAAATACATTAACAGTTTAACAGTGATAATGTGCCACAGAAAGAAATGTACACACCTTGCATAATTACATTTTTAAAGCAAGTATTATTTTAACTAAGGATGCAAGTAGTTTATGCTTCTAAATTGTATGAAAACACAAGGGGAAAATAATTATTTTGTTCTCTCTCTGGGTTTACAAACACTTATAGATTACATATTAACAAACTGAATCAAAGAGGAAGGCAATCTTCTTTTTTTTATAGGAAGTTAGAAGGTGACACTTTGAATTGCCCTTGGTTAAAGTTTTGGAGCCTATAGTTTATTTCAGTAGCTTGTAAGATATATAGGTCTACAAGAGAGTGAACTTCCACTCTACCATAGGAATTCATGAACCTACAAAGTTAAAATAATGTCAACCAACTTAGATTCTTGAGGCTCTTAACTTCAAGCCTTCACAAAAGCTCACTAAAGGATCTGGACAAGAATCAGGTAGTTAAATGAGGCTAGCAGATCCCAATGATCTGGTTTTAAAAGTTGAACACCATATTATTGCATTCCAAGCAGATATACCTCAGATATTTCCTATGCAGAAAATACTTCTACAAATAAATGATGTAATTATTTAGTTATATGCCAATTATTCAATTGTATATACATTCCTTTTTAGCCATGATTGTCCAATGTTTGGCAGTACTATCATATTGTGGGTAGAGTGTGCAACATCTGAAGAGGCCCTTATGGGATATTTTCTGTATAATGCAGAATATGGCTCATTCACCTTTAGCTCCCATTGTGGGTGTAGTATAATTAAGGAGTTTTATCAGCAAAAGATACTAAGATATTAGAGTCTGCACTATTTTATAGATTGGAAGAAGCTAGAAAATTCTAATCCTCAGGCTCAAATCATACCTCACATTTTCATACCTATTTCTGCCTTTCGCAAGTTTGCCAACTCTGTTTTATTAAGCTTCACAAGCATTAATTGCACATATTTAAACCTTTAATAACAGATTGACAATACATTCAATGTGTGTTTATAAAAAAACAAGTCCCACTTTCTTCAATGGGGCTTACTCTTCAGTAGGTATATTTAAAACTGCAGTTTAAGAAATGTGAAGTAATTTCAGCCAGCTGTTACTGGACATAAAGTCCATGTAGAAGAAAATCTGTGGCAGAGTGGGAAAATGCAGGGGAGAAGCTTTTAAAAAACCCAAAGCTTAAGGGAAATGCTTTATTTCACATCATCCATTGGTTCCCCAATGAGCTTTCAAAGATGTATATATTGAAATGTATTCAGCTAAACTATAAATCTTGGAAATAAGAAATGTTGCTGTTATACCCCATTGCCTTTGTTTTTTAGGGCACATAAACTGAAGAGTAGCTATAGAAAATGGATTTCAGTGTAAGTGAATGCTACAAAGCAAGTCAATAAAGCAGGCAACTCGGAAGATTAAACTCCGTTGTGACTGTTTCTTGTGCTTTACTTTTTGTAGTCAGGTACAGGAACTCAAATACAAAATAAAAGCATGACACATCTATTGTGAATAATGTATAATGTTAAGTTGAAGTAGGAACTCAAGTCTTTCCCCAGGGGCGCATGTATACCATACCCTTTCTGCTGAGGAAGGCGTTTAAATGAAAGTATGAACGTGTCATTGTGAACATGCATGCACCATTTGTAACTGACATGCAACTGTGTGGGCTTTTTACTCAGAAGTGCATTGGATGCCCGTCGAAAAATTAAACAATGCTTAACAGCACTAAGGGTCAATATCTAGTAAAATGCATACAGTACTTTAAAAAGGCACTTATTCTCCATAAAAGCCTCTAACAGTCAAGAAACATTTGCAAACATAACAGTACATAAATACAGTTCATAATTATTGTTCATATTTTGGAAAAATGCTGGAAAAATAGTCAAGCAATTAATAGTGATTCAAATTACGTATTAAACTAAGAGAGAAACTCCATGTGTGGTGTATTTGTTGTTGGACCGTTACCACTGGAGACTGCTAGTTGGAAACTGAATTTTTGAATATGTCTCCACATAAACACACCACAACCTCCCTGTACATACCAAAACCAGAACTCTCCCTAAATTCTATTTTTGAATGTGCAAAAGATTTGTTTACTGCAGGTAACTTACTCTCCACCTGCAATATAAAGAGCTACAGTTCTGCAGCAGCTGGATCATACAAGTATGCTCATTGTACTTTTAAAAAAATGGGTGGTGCTTTATGTTGAACAATTAAAGAATAATGTCATATGCTTCAAAATTCCCAACTATTGCAGCTCCAGCTATTATTTTAAAAGAAAGAAATGGTCTAGCATTATCTTGTTTAGCTCTCCTCTCAACCCCACTGCTATAAACTTTCAAAACAAACCCACATATTCATATACCTGTTGCTGAGTTACAGTGACTTTCCCGCACAAAGGAGCATGAACCAAATTTGTTAACTTTAAAATTAAATTGCACAGGAATAACTTCAAAGTTATACAGTTGGCAGAGAAGGTAGACAAGAGAAGGAATGATATGACAGAAAAAAGAAGAGGACTTTTTGAGCTAAGGGCATAATTTCTAGCTCACTTGGGACTTTTGCAATGCTCTTGCATATAATATCTTCATCCCAACTGACAGAAAAGGAAAACACAGTTGACGGATATCCATCAGCAGGCATGAACACTAGAAATTATCTGCAACATTCAAACCCAGGAAAATGATCTTCCACAAAATCCCAACTCACCAATTGAGCTGAGAAAGAATTGCAGCATTCAATACAACAAATTTAATTCAAGGTGGATGTCAAATTGTTGTTAAATCTGGTGATGCTCATGGAAGCATAACACGTAAGGATTGTTCTGCACTAAGAAAAACTTTGGATCCAAATATCATGGCTTAGACAATGTAATTTTGACTCCAATGCAAGCCATAGCCTATGCTACACATATTTCACTGACTGGTTCTTGAGCAACCTACCAAGCATCAATCTCTTCCATACAAACTCTTCCCTCTAGAGCAGGAGGGAGTGATCTAAATTAGTCCCAGAAAGAAAGTATGGGTTGTTCAATTAGCTCATTAAGGCATAGAGTGGGAAAATTAACACAATTTGCTTAAGCCGGAACACATTCACAATTAATCAACCTAATGTTTACAGTATGTATGCACAATATTATTTTTATGTGGAGGGTTCTTCCAAGACATTTCTCCAGAAAAACAAAAGAAAGCAATTGTGCCTTATTTAGCTAAAACAAAGGGGAAAAGGTAAGAGAAACCTATCACAAAACATACCACACTTTTCACTCAAGCATTATTGTACCAATTACAACACATGGGCAGAAAAATCCTATGGTAATGGTTGTGCATGTGTGTGGCTGTGAAGATTCTTTGGGGAAGCTCCAACCACTTCCTAAGCCCCATCAACTTGCTGAAGTCAGGACAGGAGGTGGCTGGCAAGCTTTTCTCTACCTTTCCCCCCAACCCTTTCAATGGGAATGATTAACTACACCAGCTCCAGGACTGGTATAATTAAAGACTCCTCTGGGGAACCTGTCTGGGAAGGCGTGTCCTGCGGACTCCTAGCTGCCACACCACATCCTGACCCAGTGTCCCACACCTCTCTGCTTGATGCCAGAGAACCAGCATAAATTCTATGCCCACAGAGTTTTCCACAGGTGTATCGGGGTCCTCTGGGAGCATAAGTACCATGCCTCCAGAATGGCACTTACGTCACTTCTGGTGACTCCTCAGCCCTTAATCAGCTGTAGGATTGTGTCCTTACATAGCTTTTGATGGTTTTTTGAAATGTGAGCTGGGCTTCAAAAACAGCTTCAGCATATATTAACAAATGTTTCACCAAAGAAAGTATCTATTAAGCTATTCACTATGCTTTCCACTGAAGCTCAAAGAAATCCCTGGCAAATAAGAGGCAGAATGAACATTTCAGAAAATACAAATCACATGAACTCTTACTCCAAGAACAGTGTTCCTGCAGTGTTCTTTTTTCATAGCATACAGAGTATGTTTCATATTTTCAATATAGGTGTGTACAAAACGCTGTCTAACGTCTAATTCATGTATTCATACTAACACTGTGCACATTAAAAGCCTTACAACTATTTATTTAAAAGTAAATTAGAATAATTTCATTTCTCATAAAGCAGACCTTATTATCGTATAATTGAAACAACTGTTGAGACACACACTTAATTCGGACAGAAGAGAATGGAATTTGCAAACTAGGTTGCAATTTGTAAAAACCTGTAGCCCTGCAGATGAGCCCTTTAAGCTCTAAATCAACCACTCTGGAATTCAGATTTTCCTTCCTCATAGTTACCATGTGACAGTGGCTTACTATGGTATGAATCATGCAGTGAGGTCTGTTCCTTAGTCTGCAGACAGTATTATTATCTTAAAAACCCTGGTGCAGGGTTTTAAAAGATTACTGAAGAAGTGTGATTCAAACTTGTTTGACTGTACTTGCAACAGTTGTCTGCCTAACTCATTGCAAATCCAAGTGGAACTATACAAGTGACCTGAACCTAAGTATATGAAAATGTCTTGAGTACAAGCTTCCTTTATGTGCTTTCCAAGCCTTGCTGTACTTCTGAGAATAAAAGCTCTCACTTCTCAGTGGTATTCACTATGTAGCCAATGGACCAAATTGTATTATGTAAGGATACTCCTTGCGAGTTACTTCCCATCACGTATCCTACATGCCCTCTACCCAAATGTCAGATCTCCCTCCTCTGCCCTGTCCCCCCCCCAATCCCCGGTTACAATTTCCAAACACTCTATGCACCCCAACTACATATTTAGCAGTGAAAGAAAGTGTCAGACTAGATCCGCATTCAACTCTCCATATTATGTATATGCTAGGTGAATATAACATTCTATGAGATAAGGTGAAGAAATCTCATTGCGACTAGAATTGCAAAAGCAAGTAGAAAGCATCTGCTAAGCAGCAGCAGCAGCAGCAGAGAGAAGAACTATGTCTGAAAAAAATCTACTTCAAATGAACAAAATACTTCAAAGTTGCCTCCTTTCAAAATTTCAAATTTGGAAAGGAAAATGATTGCCAAAAAATTCTCTAGCTGACACCGGGACCATTTTGCAGATGCCCTGAAGCTCTAGGTGGGAAAATAGTGAAGCTATTAGGGTATCCTGGGGAGAAGTGTGCACACTTAAGCTGGAAGCTCCTTCAGATCCTGAACTGCTCCCACTGCTGTAAAGACAAGCCAGTTTTCACCTTAAATGCAGTTATTTGAGCAGAGCTATAGACTACAAGTTGCAGCTGTGTATGCAGCACTACATCTGTTGCTTTGGATCACAGCCCTTAGCAGAATTATAATGAAATAAATGGAGGAAAATATTTAAAAGCTTATGTTGCAATTTTCTTTTAAGAAACGCAATATGGTTTTTAAACAAAATTGATTAGATGTCTAAAGTGCCTAAGCAGTAGTAGCAAAACTGGTTTCAAACTATTATTACTTCTAAATTTTAACTGATCATGAGAATTTGAAAGCATTACTTTAAATACACCATAAGCGCTGTGTGTTTAAGGCAAAGAAGGGGCCTTCTAGATTTTGCTGGACAACAATACCACATCAACTTTGGACTGCTGGCCATACCGACTAGGGCTGACAAGGGTTCAGGCTGAACAATATCTAGAAGGCTATAGGTTCCCCAGCCCCAGGTTTAAGGACATATAATGATTCTAGGAAATTTGAAGGCATCAACATCAAAATTCTGTGCATGCCTATTCAGCTCCACTGAACTCAGTGGGATTTACTGCTGAGTAAACAAGGACAGGATTGTGCTGTAAGAAAATCAAATTCAATTAATGAGTTGCCATGCACAAAATTTGGGACAAGTTCCAAGTTACTGTCTTATTTTTGAGCTTGATTTTGTTTCATTTTGTTATTATATGGGACTTCATACAACTAAATCAAATAGTAATTAGTAAGTGCCACGATTAACAAACAGCCATCAATTCATCCCCAAAGGTGAAGCCAGTGTTAGTAAAGCTCTTTCACTGATGAACACTGAGTTTCACAACAAATTTTAAAAGTTAATATTGACATATGGGAAGCACAATGCACCCAAGTGGATGTGTGTGCCTTAGCTCTAAACTACAGCCTATTTGGGATGGATAAAGTGCAGCTCACAGTATTTTCCATCGTATTAGCTACTCTTATAAATTGGGTGGATGGATGAATGAACAGAACTTAAGTAATTAATCTTCACATTCTAGCTATACCATCAGTGTATGGATACCCATTCATGTCCCTGCAGTGAAGGTCTGCCAAAAAATCAGTTTCCATGACCTGAAAGGCAGAGAAGTGCATGTACCAGAAGATTTTTAATTTAATTTTGTGCAAATTGTTACAAAAGTGGCAATAAACAACCCATTTCAGTTTGGCTGGTGTCCTTGGTTCAATCTGCTATCTATCTATCTATCTATCTATCTATCTATCTATCTATCTATCATCTATCTATATCAAAAAGCCTTGAAATTGTCAGTATTTGCAAAGTCACTAACAATGGGTGTTTTTTAGGAGGGGGAAATAAACATCTGGATCTCATCTGCATGAACTCCAAAAACCATTTATTAGTAGCTTAAAAAGGGATGGGCCTCACAGAACTGGTTTGGATTATACCTCTACAAGTTGTTTTCCAGCTTCTCCTTCCTTCCCACTTACTTGGCCTGGCAGCTACAACAACAACAACGGTACAGAGGTCTTCAGTAGGCTACTCCTATTGAAACTGTAGGATGTTTCCTGGGCACACAATGGCTGTTCAAAGGACTTGGGCTTCTTGAAATAATTACATTTCTTAGCAAGATGCTAGGAAAGAAGGAAAGCATACAGGAAGCCTTCCTATGTTGCAACCACCAAATTACATAGTGGACCAAGCTACAGGGGCTTGTGGAGGAAATTGCTTGAGCTTTGTCACACTCCATGTTACTGGAAGCACAGTAGCTGCAAGCTGGGCTCAGAATTTGCTTCAGAATAAAAACAAATTAAAAACAGAAAATAATTTGGTTTGTTAAGCTGAACTTCCAAGAACACCATAGGGATGGGGTTGCCCACCCCTGGGCAAAAAAGGGAAGGGCCAATCCTTTCGCCTGCAGCATAATATAGTTTTTTTAAAAAACAAACAAACTGCAGAACCAAACTCATAAGACAATGAATCCAGCTTGTGTGTTTGCTATATTAGCTTTGGATAAGTGTCTAGGGAGCACATTAGAGAGGCACTTTCAATTTGGAGATAATAAGGCACTCACTGAAAATCACAACATCCAGTAGCCCATTAGTGAGAAATGATTCAAAGCACAGGTGCTCTCGTGTTATAGTCCGCTCAACCCAGACTGCAGCTGGCAGTGTGTTTGGAAGAACATAGTCTTTGCTATCCAAAGTCGGGTGTCTCCAATTTCACGTGGAATAGATATTAACACCACACTGGGGAAATACAATTCTTTTAAAAGGACATTTTTAAAGCTCCTACAAATGCTCACAACCGACAATTTATACTATTCCAAATTATTGTTTTCTGAGTCTGTACTCTAAAAAGTTCTAAGCACTCAAAAACATTTTTCTTCTTTGAAAATGATTCCTGTATTTAGGATCTAAAGCAAAGCAAACTGAGTGTTCTGCTCATGGGGCAATGCCAAACAAAATGAGTAAATGTGCCTTTAAAAAACCTAACTGAAACAATTACTAATTATGATTATCATGATAATTTTAGTTCACTCATTATTTCTACCAAAATAAGTGCAAAAAATAAGGAGAACATGTTTATTTTTCTACAAAATATATAATATACATCACGGGCACCTACCACCAATTCCTGTGGTTTGAATTGCAATGAATGGGAGTAGCATAGGAAAATCAGGCAATGTTCTTCTGCAGCTCCAATACATTTTTAAAAAAGTGATTCTTGTTCTGGAAGGTTCCTTGGTGAGTTCTCTCCTTTCCCACTGGAAAAGATGCTTCACATATACAAATTAAGATTTAAGAAACTGTTGTAAAAGGTTTTGTTCGTGGTTCTTTAAAGGGCCTGACCTAAGGAGCACATTTAAGTGCACCACAGTGGTTTCCATTTGAGTGCTAGGGCTTGTTTTGTTTTTGCACACCTCTTCACCTAGCACTGGAAGTTGTTTCTGAGGTTTTCTCACTTTGAGGGAATTCTTCAGGAAAGGGGAAAGCTCAGAAGTCCAACTGGGTACAGAGACCCTAAGCAACTGTTTTAGCTGGAATAAGCTCTGTATCATTCTACTAGTGTTATAAATCAAATATTCTAGACAGTGTACTGGTAATATACAGAACATTAAAAGGGACAGTATTTAGCACTATCAATGTATTATAAGAACCCGAGGGGCTAATATTGCTTGCCATTGTTATCATTACTCTAAAAGTGAACATTTTCTCTTCGGAAAGCTATAGCAATAGTGCAGACGATATCCTCACAAATTAAAACGTTCTTGATTTATCAGCGAGACACAGCGATGGGCCCATCGTGGAACTGCCAAGTGGAAATGCACCTCATGTAAGCCACTGCTCTTTTTCTTTGCTGTACTTTTCAGACCACTTACGAGTGAGCTCCAGATAAATATTTGGCTTATGTGGCTGATAGTCGAGGTAAACTGCCTTTCCAGTCCTCTTTGGAATGGCCTTTTCAATCTGAGTTCCTTCATGCCATTCATTGAAAGAGGTGATAGAGATTATTTCAGGGCGTACCAGAAGCGCAGCGCTGAACGCAGTCTCATAGTATTTGCCATTGACGCGGTTCCGTGTGTTGTGGCTGTTCCATGGTCGAATGCTGGTGTCTACATAGCCTGGGCCCACGCTTGGAATAAACAGCAAGTTTTTCGTGTCACAAAAGGCTTTCAAACTTGGCCAGTTGTGATGGCTTGAGCCGTAGGAGAAGCCGTTGGTGGCAAAATATGTATAAATTCCGTCAAAGCCACTTCTATGGATTTCATGCTTGTGTTTTTCTTCCACAAGAAGGGCAATGAATAAGCTATCATAGGGTGTATTGCGTATACTCTGGGATCCAGAGACAGTAAGCAGATTTGCCCACATTTCAGGGATTGTTATATAAGAATCGTAGACATAAAACATGGGAAGAGTTCTACCTGTGCTGACTTTATGTCTGTAAAAGGCTGGATGGGCTCCATATCTAGAAAGGAAAGAAAGTAACCAATATAAAGTAAATAACATTCATTTTTGTATCATTGGGTATTAAGCAGTGTTGTTTGCTCTTCCCAAATTTATTTCCATTCAAATGTGTCATCACCATCATTAGATATAGGATGTACACTTGCCAATGTAGTTATGCACAATTCATTTTATTTAAATTAGTCATTTCCACACTATGAAGAAAAAAAATATTCTATTGCTCTGCTTCTAATTTCATATTTCATGATACTTCAGCTAGTAAAGGCTAACTGAGGGTCTAGCAAGGCAGGAAGTTTGAAAAACAGCCTTAAGACACAGCAATAAATATGAGAAAACTGGCAATTGAACCAAATTTCTCTGACTTGAACAGGCAGAAAAAATTCAGGGGATTTGAACAAGAAGCAAAGCTATTTGTGTGGATTAAGAACGTTAATTGATAGTGTACTGCACAACAAAACAAAATCACATGAAAAACACTGGACAGAGTTAAGTTGTAACATCAACATTCAAATACTTGAGGAAGTGCTTACTTGTCTATGATATACTTGATGTTGCTGTACATACTGCGATCATCTCTATCTTTGTATGGCTCAATATGGAAAGTGACCTAAAAAAAAAAGGTGTTTTTAAATAACTGAATAATCTCAACATAGTGAAGGTCAAACACTTCTATTTATGAAGTTCAAAGGTGAGTCAAAGGTGAGTCAAAACCACCAGTCAAAACATTACTGTCTATAAACAGAAGGGAGGTATCAGCAGGCTTAGGGGAATACCAAGGTTTGCAGAAGTTATTCTTGAAATCTCCATTTTGAGCCTAAATATTCTGAGTTTGAGCCATAGTTGCACAAGCAGAAGCTGTAAGGTTTTCCTGCCTTCTCCTCCCCAGTATAGAACCCCCTGAGGATCAGAAGACTGCAGGAAACCACTGAAGGCTGTTTGCATCAAAAGCTTGCACAAGCCACCAGTTTAGTACATCTCACCACCCACTCCAGAGGTAGTTCTTCGAAACAGCTGAACCACATATAACACAATTATGCATGACAATGCAATTAGCTGGCACTTACAGAGATACCAGTTATGATAAAATCACTTTAGACAAACTGTGATAAATATAACTTTCAGTCCTATCACTAGGTTGTGGTATTCATTTGGAAACCAAATGAATTAAGAATAGGCGATCGGAATTTGGTCAAGATTTGTATCCAAGATTATGAAGTAAGGAGATAAAATGTACAGCCTGTGCAAACCCTTTGGGAACTGTATTTGTTTCAGATGCTGTTTTACTTTAAAGTGCATCATGAGACAGAAACCTAGCAAGGGCAATGCGAGCAAGAATAAAATCTCCAAGCAATTCACCCCAGGAGAGTTATGAACTTAAACAAGGAGCAACATGTTCCAAGTGTTAGTGCAACATAGCACTCTATTATAATTCACAATTCAACAGAATAATGTAAAGCCAATAGAAGTGCATGCAAAGTAAATCAAATATACTCCTACACAACAACCACAACAAAAATGTAACTGTGATTAATAAAAATTGCATTTCTAACAGGTGTGGGGAACCTTTGACCTTCCAAATGTTGCTATTATTTATTAAATTTCTATACCACCTTTCATCTGAAGATCACAATAAAAAACCCCACAAAAATACACAGTATAGTAGCAAACAAAGCAAATAAGCAAACAAACAAACAAACAAACAAAAACAATAACTCTAATCATCCTGGCCAATGGTTGTAATTCAGCAACATCTGGAAGGCTAAAAGTTCCCCATATCTGAGGTAGAAGTACCAACTAAAGAGTTGCTTTTGTGGTATTGTAAGCCTAGCAAGAAATATACAGAAAAATGGCTGCACCTCATTTGCCAGGCACTAAAAGCACAATCCTATGAGTGTTTCCAGAAGCACCCAGTGCACCACTGTATGCAATTGTGCACTGGATTCAGTGGAAGTGACTCACAGGTTAATGGGCATGCATTGTAGCCTATGAATTCAGTGGTACTTCAGAGTAGACATGTATACACAGAAAATTGCTCTTTAGCTACAATAGTGTAAGATACTGTAGCTAAACTGGATACACAACACTAGGCTGTTTCCTAGTTCTATCAATGTAGCACTTCACCAAACATTCCTTAGCTTGGAATTCTCAAGCTGTGGTCTGTGAACCACTAGTGGCCTGCAAGCTTTGTTTATGTGGTCTGTGGAATGTCCACATTAAATATTCATATTTATTTTCCATGGTATTTTATTGCTTCTTTTCCTCCTTATATCCCAATTGTAATATAATACAATACAAGAAATAAAAGGAGCAATAAAAACACAATTAAAAATCATCCAGCATCCAGCACAGCACATTCCAATTGCTATAACACTCAGGGGAAAAAATTGTTAAGTGGTCTGTCAAGACCATCAACAATTTTCGATTGGTTCATTGGTGGGGAGGGAGTTTGGGCAGCAGCACCTTAGCCGCAATGAAATTACATGCAATTAACTCAACTCCTCAAACTCTGATAGGACAACTGTGCAGAGAGTCTAACTTTAGAACAATCAGTCCATCATATCTACAACTTTGACAAGTCTAAAACTTCAAATAGTGTACCTTTAATTTGTACTTATGTGCAATATCCAAAATGGTTGGTACCAGGGCATCAACAGGTTCTCCATTTTCATCACCCATTCCAGGTGGGTACCAAGAAAGGGCCAATACCCCTAAGGAACAAAATATACATTTTACCTATGGTGATGTTTAACCAATTTGTATTGGATGTTTTTTTTTAAAGCAATTTAGCAAACAAAGCATGTACAACTACTTTGAGATTTCAGTATCAAACATTTCAACACATAAGCCAATAAAATTGAGTTTCTTTAGCTATCTTCAAGTATCTCCAAGTCACCAATTAAATCACTACTGTACTAGCTTTATTGTTTGTTTGACTAATTTTTAAGAATGGGCAAAAAATAATCCTTACACTATCAGGTGGTAGAACAGGGTAGGTCTATACCCTTTTCATGCCTAATGGTTGGAATAGAAGCTTAACAGACAGAGGAAACCAGCCTGTGGGGACAATATGGCTCCTTTTACAGTGGAACCTTGTGTTACATACCGTCCCCCGTGCGAACGCTGCAGGTTATGAGCTCCGCTAACCCAGAAGTAGATGTTCCCGGTTGCGACCTTTGCCTCGGGATGCGAGCGGAAGTTGCGTGCTGGCAACGCGGAAGCAGCGGGAGGCTCCATTACTGAAAGCGCGCCTCATGTTATGAGCTGTTTCGGGTTACAAATGGACCTCCGGAACGGATTAAGTTCGTAACCAGAGGTACCACTGTATACAATTCCAACTCATTTCTTGGCCAGTAAGGTATGAATCATGCAACAATCACCTCTGTTTGTATCTGTCTCTAAGTAAGAATAATAATAATAATAAATCTTTATTGTCATTAAGAAATCAAGAGAATGCTGATGGAGAGGAGATGCATAGGTCATATTTAATTTTTTTTTGAGAATGAGAGGCAAGGCAAAGCAAAGTGTAAAAAATTGTCTGTTTGCAGGAATAGGGGAAGTGCAACTGTATCTGTTAAACAGCCTTAAAATTGTGTTTTAAGATGAATTAAGTAAACATCATTAAAAATGTGTGGGGAGGTGAACAGTGGATGGGGTGTGGCCAAGCAGACAGAGGACAGAAGTTGAGCTCTGCAGAAGTACCAGCATTAGCCACTGAATACACGGTTGAAGTGGTTTCATTTTTCAGCTGCTCTGCCCTTCTGCCTCTATAATCAGGTGGCCTTCCAAGGGAGTGACTGAACAAACCAGGATGCCCAAGCTGGGATGCAGTAAGAAACCAGTTAGTGCAAACTGCAGCTGAAAAGCCAGCTTCAAACTGTGCTTATGGAGCCTCCTTTGTCAACTCACAAAATCCACGATTAGTGAGTAAATTTCAGTACAGCAATTAATCCAGAATGCGGCAGCTAGACTGGTGACTGGGAGTGGCCGCCGGGACCACATAACACTGGTTCTGAGAGATCTGCATTGGCTCCCAATACATTTCCGAGCACAATTCAAAGTGTTGGTGCTGACCTTTAAAGCTCTAAACGGCCTCAGTCCTGTATACCTGAAGGAGCATCTCCACCCCCATCGTTCAGCCCGGACACTGAGATCCAGTGCCAAGGGCCTTCTGGTGGTTCCCTCATTGCGAGAAGTGAGGCTACAGGGAACTAGACAGAGGGCCTTCTCGGTAGTGGCGCCCGCCCTGTGGAACGCCCTCCCATCAGATGTCAAAGAGATAAACAACTACCTGACATTCAGAAGACATCTTAAGGCAGCCCTGTTCAGGGAAATTTTTAATATTTAATGCTGTATTGTTTTAAACACTTGATTGGGAGCCGCTGGGGAAACTCAGCCAGATGGGCGGGATATAAATAATAAATTATTATTATTATTACAGGTGTACAAGCAGCCATAGTTTAGCTAAACAGAACAGGTCACAAGTCTAGTAGAAGGCGATAGTCCACGTAGTTACCTTCCAAGTTGCTAGTTTCAATATATTTTTACTCAATCCCTGAAAAAGACATTTGTGATTCATCCTAATTGTCATATCCCATGGAGAAAACAGTTAATAATGGGGAAATTACGTAAGACTTTCTCACAGTTCAGTTTCAGTTCAAAGAAGGGGGAAAGTGACTTATCACACCAAAGCTCTGAATTCAAAACGCTTAATGCCATACAGAAAAATAAAATACCATTTACCAATGGAAGCTGAGCTCATCTGCTTCATGTGCTCTTCTATGACAGAAGGGTCTTTGGAGCTGTAAGGTCCAAGTTCAGGATAGAAGCTGGAGCCAATATCCTCCGGAGGACTGTGCCTTCCTTTTGGATAATCACTTGCAATTTTGGGATCCCAATGTGTTAACAATGGGTGGTTCCAGTGAATATATTTTCCATCAAACTGCGGTGTCCCATACCAGCTGTAGTAAAACACATGAAAGTTGTAATTTGGGGAAGGCAGATGTTCTTCTAGTTTCCTTACAGAAACGGTGGGTTTTTTTAAGTTCATTGTTAAAGGGTGAACATTTTTTGCGTGTGTGAAACTTTCTTCCTTAGCTCCGCTCTGCACGTTGAACTTATTTCTTAAATGTGTTGTTCGTTGCTGAAAATCTGGTAACAGGCCAAGGCCAAATGGATCTCCAAACCCAGCTCTTTCAGGTCTCAAAGTTTTCAAGGCCATCATTATGGAGCATATGAATAAAATAAAGAGCACCAGAATGATGCACGTTCTCCTGCGAAATCTTGCCATGATGTCATTGTAGTTCAAGGCACACGTAGGCGGCTTCTAGCTGCCAATGATTTAAAAAGCATAATGTTAGGGTTTGAAATGTTGCAAACAATTTTTTTAAAAACTATTTAACATTTGTAAAGCACCCTAAAAATTTCTAAGCAGTCCCTTCCTGCAGACTCAACACATAAGAGACAAAAACATGAAATAAAAAAAGGTTAAGACTAGAAAAAGAAAGCAAGGGCCAGATCTGGGTCCCCCTTACCATGATGTTCTTTCTTTGTCTCCTGGCCAGGGTAACATTTCTGGTGGCAAACAATATCCCAAAAGCTGTTCCTCTGGCCTATGGATGAGTCCTTGTCTTGTTTTCTTTAGGCAGGCCTTTGGCCCACAAGCTAGCTTCTAAATAAGTTTACATATTTCCCCCCACCGTTTGCCTCTTGCAATCACCCACCACTTAGGCGTGGCTCTCAGAAGGGTTCCTCAGAAGGGAGTATACCGGTAATCCATGGGGTGAAAAAAGTTTGTCCATCCCTGGATTACAGCATTACTTCAGTCACCCAATGACATCAGCCATTCTAACATAAAGAAGAATAGCCTTATGTCGGCTTGGTACAGAATTTTGATTTTCAGTTAAAATGTAGATACAACAATGAATCTTTATTCAATTTTGCTGTATAATAAACATTCTACAATTGTTATTGGATTTATCTATTTGGCAACAAATAACTCAGGAGTTAACAATACTTTTTTTAACATTACTGTTCTTTTATTGTGTTGTGTAGCATTTAATTTTGCATTAGTGTTATGGTGGTTATGTTTTTGCTTTTTGAAAAAATATGTCCCTTGCTAAAGCTATAACAAATAAACTGTGAGGTGAAAGAAAAAGAAAAACTGTAGGGATGAAACTTGATGGACGGAATGTTGAGATAAGAATGAGAGGGAACAATAAATTCTCCGTGCAGAATAAGAAGCTTCACAAATGTTAGGCTGACTTCTAAATATAGTCAATTATCATCCAGGACATGAGATAGCTTGTCACAAAGACACAAGACACAGAGAAGCACAAGACACAAGCAATTTATCACTGGCAAGTCCACCTATTGTCTACCAAAACCCAAGAGAAACCTGGTTAAGGGGGGGGGCAGAATGTTCTCTACCTGTGTAAACATTCCAAGCTTTCAAGCATAACAGAGGCAAGGAATGAAACTTCATGTGCATGTTCAGTGCACAATTACACATTTCATGTTCAAACTCTAGCCCCTACACCCATTTTCAGGAAGGTCACAAAACTCCTAAGCAGTTCCATTACTAGAAAATGAGGTACTTAAAATAAAAGAACAGTGCCACACCTTTTCTCCTTAGTGTAATTTCACATTAGAAATACAATTTTCTCTCTCCTTTGAGTGCCAGTTTCCAATAGTTTAAGTTGTGTTATTATTATTGGAAAATAGGGTTGATCAAGACAAGGTTCATAAAGATATCTTGTTTAAGAAGAAAATCAATGCAATAAGAAGATTTATCCTCAACATTAATCAAATAGACAATGTTCTACAGTATATTAACATATATTATAGAAGCACAGGAGGTTCTTTCATTGTAAGCCTCAAAATTCTATAGCCTACAAAAATGCCGTCTGTTGAGCTAATAACTTGGCTTACGTTGTCTAGGCTGAAGAGGTCTATGAAAGTGCCAAATTTCTAACTGACCTGAAAAAGGTTGCCACAGATAACAGAGTAAGTCGAGAAGTGCTGAAAATTTACACTTTGCCCCGTCCCCTGCTCTTTATGAACATAGGAAGTTGCCTTATACTGAGCCAAACCCACTGGTCTATTCAACTCATTATTGTCTGCACTGACTGACAGGGACTCTCCAGTATTTCAGTCTCTCCCGGTCCTAACTGGAAATGCCATAAAGGACTGAACCTGGGGCCTTTTGCATGCAAGGCACTGAGTTGTGGCCTTCTGCTATTAAGACCACATACTGTATAACTGATTTCAATACAGAGTTTTTACATTTTTTGTAATCTGCCCTGAGACTTTATTTTAAAGGTCAACTAAGAAATATAATAAATAACGATTCTTTCCAGTTTTGGTGAAACTTGCTGATCTATTTCATTCAAGCTTCTTGTGGAGCCCTCACTTCCACTGGCTTGGTGAAGTTCTGAAAAGTTACTCAAAAGTTATTAAGATTTCCTCTCTCATTAAAGTCCATGGTAAACAAGTACAGGCACAGGGCTTATGTTCCAGGTCATCACATGCATTGGTGGAGCGTGCACTGAAACTGCCCCCACATATCCTTTGCTTCACACTTAAAGCACCACCACAGAAACAGACACAGAATTCCACACACAATCTCGATACACACCCCATACTTAAACCCCCTGCCTACCACCTAGTGCTCTCCTCATATTGGGAGAAAGGCAGGAGCGAAGTAAACAGCAAGTTAACTTTTAAGGTCTCAGGGAGTCAGTCTGCCAGGCAGCAAGATTACTGAGCAAGAGAGGATACTACCACCCTGTGCAGACTTACTCAGAAGCAAACTTTTCTGAACACAGAGGGTAAAACCTATTCATTTGCTTATTTCTACACAGCTACTAGCTTGTTTGTGTTTTGCTTTTACAGAATCATTCCCCACACTGAAAATACCACAGGGCTACTACTACAATTAACAGTTATGAAACCATTACTTCTCTATTTAGCAGAACCCATTATTTCAATATATTTTCTTTTCATAAACTAAGTAATACAGAACCAGTACAATGTTGGGTATTTTTGCTGGCCCCAGGCACTCCATCCTCCCTTGCAGGATTGGGCCTGAAAGACCAAGGAAAAGTGGAGGTGCATGGAGGCAAAGTTGCCAGTAAGCACAGTCTGTGACAATGTACAACCTCCTTGCTGATCACAGGGTATATTTCTTAAGGTTTCATCAGCCTTAACTTCAAATATCCTGAGTTCGTGGAGTTTGAATCAACATGAGAAAGCCTTAACTCGTATTTTAAAACTGGCAAGTTTTTTGATCATTTAATATATAGCACACACTGTCATCTGTGAATATAGTTTGCAAACAAATAATGTATATACAGTTTTGTACTGAGCTGTATCTTATGACATTTAAAGTAAAAAGCCATGACAGCTATTCCACACAATATCAGCTACTTTATCGGCTGAACCCAGTTTTTATAATACTGTATACGGAGAGGAATTAAGAGTATAGTATACTAGTTGCTCTTCTGCGACATTAGTTATATTACAATGTAACACCTAGTTACATTAGTGTAAGCCCTATTATAACAACTTTTCTTATATCTATTTAATCTAACAAAGTTGTCAAAGTTTGTCAAAGTCACAGGCTGGCATGACATCTGTTAGAAACCGTTAACCCCTTCATCAACCTCTCTGAACGGCATGCAAACAGAGCTCTCTTTTGCATGGGGGAAAATGCACCCCGTGGTTTGGTTCTGGACGAAGTGCCAACCCTTGACCACTTCCACCCCAAACTGAGCTCAACGTCAGTCTGGGTGCTTAGTGCAGCTTGGGAATTGGTGAGAGGCAAGGAATAACCCCTTGCAAAGCTCAGACCAAATATCTAGAAGAAATGAATTTAATCATTGCGTGTATGTATGTATGTATGTGCACGCATAGGCGGGGTGCATATCTTGCCGACCCTAATTTTATTTTATTTTTGGTCCTCGCGACACCCCTGCGAGGATGGCCTAATTACCACAGCTGGGATTTGAGCGCGAGCCTCCCCAGCAACGGCTGCGCCCGCGCACGTATCCAGGCGCCTTACCTACCCCAAAGGGCAGGTAAGCCCCGCAAGCGCTACTTCACCTGGCCAGGAACGGCTCTCGGCGGGGACGCCTTCCGCCGACCACCTCGCCTCGGGACCCCCATTGCTCGACTCCCGCCCCCCTCGGAGAGTCACGTGAGGCGCCTCGGGCGCGCGGGCAGCCTTTCGCCTCCCCCCACCCACCGGACCGCAGAGAGGACCCTCCCCCATTTTTGTCGCCGCCGCCGCCGCTGTCATTGCCAAAGCACAGAAGGAGAACAGGCAGGGTGGAAGAAGGAGCCCCCCTCCTCCTTCCCTCTCTCCCCGCCTCTCACTTACCCCGAGTTCAGAGCCAGAATCCGCAGGGACTGGAAGATCAAGGGTCCTGCATTGATACTGGGGGGCGGCGAAGGGGTTGAAATAGAGTTGCAAGCGGGGCCAAAGGCTAACCAGCCTCTTTTCCAGGTCTAGCTCCCCCTAGATGTTGATGAGCTCTCACGCGCCCTCTCCGCCGAGCATGCGTGGTAGCAGAGGGAGAAGCCGCCGCTTGCCCTTAAGAGCTACGTAGTAACTATCGCCGTTTTTAATCAAGTGCCTCCTCTTTGCGGCGCAGCCTAACTATGCCACCCCCCGCCCCAGTCCCTCGGAAGTTGCTGTGCGGCACGGCGCGCATGCGTACCGTGCTCAACCTCCGATGGAACGTTTTCGCTTAACGGGGAATCTGCTTTCCTCCTCTATCGAACCTTCCGCGCCCGCTTGCTGTGGGTCTTCCCCCTGTGCAAAAAGAAAGTTAAAGCCCAGAGTGGGACTTAACCTCCAGCTCGACATCCCAGTCGTATCCACACAAGAAAATAAAATAAAAGCCCCAATAAGTTCCTTGGCATTTCCCCTTTCGAGTAAGAATGCAGGTCCTTGTCACTCTTTTGCTCATTGCTCCATTGCAATCTCACTTCAGGTTGAAAGTGCTATCAACACTTGCCGCTTCTATGTTTTTTTTGGGGGAAGGCATCCATTCAGCAGTTTAAACGGTACAGAACAACTCCCTTTGCCCTGTGTAGGGCAGACTACATGGGAACTGGTGGAGTCCCCCCTCCCCACCTAGAAAGGCCACTGGCCCCCTCGTGTCTTCTGGCCCTTTGGCTACTTGGGGAGTGGAACTTGTGCAACACAGAGAAGCTTTTGGCTGCTCCTACTTCCCTTTTCTTGCTTTCATTTTCAATGCAAGCAAGAGGTGGATTGGGCCCCTGGCACTGCCATGAGAGAAGCCTTTGGCTGCTCAATTGTCCTGACTCCAGGGCCAGTCCCATCATCAGGCAGATGGGGGTGTCAGTCTTGAGGGTATCTCCTGTTAGCCCGCTTTCCTCTGGTGCTGTGGTGGGCACTGCCCCATTGCTAGTGTGGAAGTGAGAATAAATTTACCATTTCTTAATCTACCAGATTTGCACAAAACAGCAGCTGTGTTTGTGTGTGTTGCCTCAAGCCAGGAAAGTTGAGATCTATGGGTACATGTGCACATACACCTTTTGTGATGCACCAAGCTTGCACAAAAGAGCAGTCCAAAATAAAAATAAGTGATGCCTCACTCCAAGCTAGGTAAGGAACTGGCTACCTGTTGCTTCCTTTCAGGATGGAGGCCTGGCCAGGACAGCTTTCCTGTTATAGCTTGTGGGGTTGATGAGGCATGTGACCCTCACCTGTTCTGAGTCTACTCTAGCTGAGGAATTACACAACTCCTTTTCTGAGCTAACGAGGCCCACCTGGGCTGCGGGTCCTTGCCTGCCTTCACTCAGAACTGAGAGCTGTAGGTTTTGGTATCCCGAGGTCAGAAGTAGTACATCCCATATTGCCAGTTGAGGCAAAACAGGAAGTCCCACCCTGCTCTGCCACACCACAACACCATCACCACCAGTGGGACACTCTTCACTACTGCCACACCTGCTAGTGGCAGTGCAGCTGTGCCACAAGCTGTATCACCTCCGCCGCTAGTGGAGAAGCAGTGCTGGCATTGGTCCCCGAAAGAGCTTGCAAGATATCTCTCAAATCTCAAGAGATCTTTTGCTCTCCTTGACATCTTGCAAGTCTTTGCAGAGATCTCGCAAGATCGTGCAGGAAGCACTCACCTTTATTTTTTTTAAAAAATTCAAGTTTCTTAATCTACCAGATTTGCACAAAACAGCAGCTGTGTTTGTGTGTTGCCTCAAGCCAGGAAAGCTGAGATCTATGGGTATTTGTCTACATGTGCACATGCACCTTTTGTGATCTACCATGGTTGGACAAAAGAGCAGTCCCAAAATAAAAATAAGCAATACCTCATTCTAAACTAGGTAAGGATTTTGAGTTGTTCATATGTATGGCTGCCTATTGCTTCATTTCCTCCCTATTTCGTCCCCAGGACACAGGCCTGGCCAGAAATGCAGACCATCTTGCAAGACTTTGATGAGACTTCACAAGATCTTGCAGGAAATCAGCACCTATCCTGGCACCACTTCTCTGGCAGAGGTGGGGGCGTGGCAAGAGGCGCCCACAAGGGTGCTGCCTTGGGGGCTTCTGCTGCCTGAGGCAGCTACTTCATGCCACTTCATGGGTGGGGTGGCCTTGCCTGAGGTCATTATGGGCATACACACTGGTATCTGTTTACCTGTAAGCACATACCTTTATTTTATTTTTAATATGAGTTTCTTAATCTACTAGATTTGCACAAAACAGCAGCAGTGTCTCTCTGTGTGTTTGTGTGTGTGTCCCCATGCCAGGAAAGCTGAGATCTATGGGTATTTGTCTACATGTGCACATACACCTTTTGTGATCTACCATGGTTGCACAAAAAAGCAGTCCCAAAATAAAAATAAGCAATGCCTCACTCCAAACTAGTTAAGTATTTGGAAGGCTGTTTGTGGCTTCATGCCCCTCCCTTTCCTCTCCATCTCTTGTACCCATGGGAATAGCGAAGTGGTGGCTGGGTGGTTGTATCTGAGGATGTGCTTCCCCCCAGCAGTAGCTTTTTGTCCTCAATATTCTATTTATTGGCCATTTTACTTGTGATTTCAACTTTGAATTTCTGAAAAAAAGCTTTCCCCCCAAAGAATTCTGAGAACTATAGTTCGCTATGGGCACCGGGAATTTTAGCTCTGTGAGGGGTTAACTACAGTCCCTGGGATTCTTTGAGGAAAGTCATGGTCTTTAAGTGCCCTGCTTTAACAGTTTAAATAAAGATTTTAAATATTTTTATTGTGCTTTTTTAATGGGCTTATTTTATTGTACATTTTTATTGGTGGGGTTTGATTTAATGTTTTGATGAAATTGTTTTAAGGTGTTTATACTATTTGTAACTGGTTTTATACTGCAAGCCACTTAGAAGCCACCTTGAAAAGCCAATTAAGCAGTATATAAAATAATAATAATGCACTTCCACAAGGGGAAATGTAGATGAGAAATGAGAGAGACGTCTGCTTCTTCCATGATCAGTACTCTCCCCTGCATCACCCACAGAGCAAGCAGAGAGGGCTTGATATTATTTCTCTCTAGGCAGCACTATGAGCTCAGTCTTCTCTTCAGTAGTTCCCAGGGAAGATGAGAAGAGAGAGGAGCAGCTACAGCTTTTTCTTGGAGAATTACAAGGACACACTGGGAAGAACGGGTGTGTCGTAGCTTGGAGGGTCCTCCCAGTTCCCTGCTGCTTCTGATGGGAAGAAAGGATAGGTTGCCCATTAGTAACCAGTCATTACTAATTCATCACCTCTACTTATCAAGAAACAGTGGCTGTTCGGCTACTTTTCTTTCAAAGGAGAAGCTGCACCGACTTTGTGCAAACACACCTATGCATATCTGCTAAAGATTGACTGATTGCAAAATGCAGCCTGACCTGTGCCAGATCCCTGCACTGTTCCTGTAAAGGATTATTCAGTAGCAGATGGTGCAGTGGGATATGGTGGGGTAGCAGTGCTCACCTGACTTCTTGACAGCTGAGTTTCTGCTAGTGCATTTACACCACACACCGCCCTGCCACCTTGCTCCCCCCCCCCAATATACAGCAGTGACTCAATAGTTGGGTGGTCAGGGAAGAACCACATTGCCACTACCACCACCACATTGTCCACAACTAGGGTAGTGAGCCTTTGTCTATTATCTTTGAGAATAATTAGAGAACAGGTGAAGGGACGTGGGTGGCGCTGTGGGTAAAAGCCTCAGCGCCTAGGGCTTGCCGATCGAAAGGTCGGTGGTTCGAATCCCCGCGGCGGGGTGCGCTCCCGTTGCTCGGTCCCAGCGCCTGCCAACCTAGCAGTTCGAAAGCACCCCTGGGTGCAAGTAGATAAATAGGGACCGCTTACTAGCGGGAAGGTAAACGGCGTTTCCGTGTGCGGCTCTGGCTCGCCAGAGCAGCGATGTCACACTGGCCACGTGACCTGGAAGTGTCTCCGGACAGCGCTGGCCCCCGGCCTCTTGAGTGAGATGGGCGCACAACCCTAGAGTCTGTCAAGACTGGCCCGTACGGGCAGGGGTACCTTTACCTTTTACCTTTAGAGAACAGGTGAAGTCCCTACACACTGGAGGTGGGCAGATGATGTCCCCATCTTCAAAATGGAGGGAAAGGAAGACCCAGGTAACTACTGACCAGTGATCTTGATATCAATACCAGGGAAGGTCCTCGTATAGATAATTCAACAGTTGGTCTGTGAGCATTTAGAAAAGGATGCTGTGATTACTAAGACCCAGTATGGGTTTCTCAAAAATAAGTCATGCCAGACCAATCTGGTTTCTTTTCTTTTCTTTTCTTTTTTTGGTGGAATTACAAACTCAGGAACATAAATAAAGTTAGGGATTATTTATTTCTGCTGTAACTTACATGAGGAAGTGGCAAATGAAATGCATGGTACTGGCAAGAAAGAGATCCTGCGCACAAAAAATAAAAGAAATGACAAAACTTACCTAAACGCAATTAGTGTATATGTGAATTTTAATGACATATCAATTTACTTTTATGGTATTTCAATACTGCATAATCATCATTTTCTAATTGATTGAGTATTAACATCAAAGAAAATTAACTGAATGCTGTTTCATCACATTTCCAGAAGCCATCAAACATTTTCAATTACTGTTTCAAGCAATATGCATAAACAATCTTTTGCAAGAAATAACACACACTATTTATTTATATACACTTATTGGGTAAGACAACATTAGAATGCAAATGACAGGAGCAGCCCTGCAGGTATACAAAGCCTCCCTCTGCCAATATATGAAAATCCAAGGGGCATGTTAAGCCATCTCCTGTTTAACTTAGCCCCACTTCTGTTGGCCCAAAAGTCTCCACCCACTAACCCACATTGACACTGTGAGTTAAACAGACAGTTCTTAACTGTACTTCTATGTCGCCCGAGTTCTCTAGGCTGCTTATAATAAAGGTTAAAATTGTAGAAGAAGAAGAGAACGATACACCACTCTATTTGCAAAGTACACAGGGAGAGTAAAACAGAAACATTTCTGAAAGGTCATGAAGCTGTAAAATCCAATTTATGTAAATGTTGCTCTGATCAGCCTCTGGTGGCCTCTAAACATAGCA